CCTTCAGCGTGGAGGAATACGGTAGGTGGGGACCACGGCTGGGACAAGGTGTGCCCCACCTTGGCATGTCCGTGTGGGCAGCGTGTCCACAACTCAGGCTCCGTCGTCCTTGTCCTGGGGGTGACATCCTTGTCCTGGGGGTAACAGCCCTCTCTCCTTTTGCTCCTCCATCAGTGCTGCCCAAATTTGAGGTGACCATTGACCTCCCCGCTGTGGTGCTGGAGAAGGACAAGAAGCTGCAGATGGAGATCTGTGGGCGGTGAGCCCGAAACAGGCTGTGCTGGGAAAAGAGAGGGTCTTGGGGGGTCTGATATGATGTGGCATCCATCAGGAACACCCTCACCACCCTCGTCCCCACAGGTACACCTATGGGAAGCCCGTCCAGGGGAAGGTGCAGGCCAGCTTGTGCCAGTCCTTAAGGTATAGATTTCATAGTGTCTCCAGCAAGGAGCAGAGCTGCGTTGAGGTTAGCGGGCAGGTAAGCACGGGTGTCACTGGGACAGCCCTTTCCCTTAGCCCCAGCTCCATTAAACTGCTGCTAACGGGGTTGACTCTCTCCTTGCAGACCGGGAAGAACGGCTGCTTTTCCACAGAGGTTTTGTTGACTGCCTTCAAACTGAGCGACTCCACCTACGAGAAGCAATTGCAAGTCCAGGCATCGCTGGTGGAGGATGGGACAGGTAGGGACAGGGTGCTCTCCTCTTTGGGAACAGGCATTGCCACTGGTGCACGGGTTTGCATTCATCCCCATGTGTGCCCAAATGCACATGGTGTGGAGGTATTGGTCTTCTCCAGAGAGACCCAAAAGCAACGCTGCGATTTAGAGGTGCACGTGTGCAGGGACGGGGCGCAGCAGTGGTGTGAGCCAGGCCAGCCGGGCAAGACACCTACTTCTGTCCGGAGAAATGGTCGGGAGGCAAAAACACCCTTCCAACACCCAACAGCTTTTCCAATGCTACGCCAAGCAGTGAGTTGGGTCTTTGTGATACCAAGCAGTGGTTTCACCCAGTTCGGTGATGTGGCTTGGTCGTCCGAGCTCATTCCTCACCCGCCACCTTGGTCACACCAGATATGACTGCCAGCGGCTTGGCTTTGGGAAAAGAAGACAAGGCGTTGTTGTCAGGCCCTGCATCATGGTGCTTTGGTGAAGAGCCTTTTCTGAAGCCTCTGCAGCCAGCTGCACCCTGGTTTTAGGTCTAAAACACGCCATAGAGGTTTTGCTTCTCTTGTAGGTGTGAACTGTGCTCGAAGCTGCTGGTTGCAGAGGGAAAGCCTAAAATATCCAGGGACCTTTTCTGAACCATGATGGGGGAGCTGGCAGCAGCTAACGTGTGTCTGGTGTCCCTGCAACACCCTCAGCTCCTCGCTGCCTCTCCACAGGGCTGGAGCAGACAGACACCAAGACCTGCAAGATTTCACCCGAAATCTTCACTGTCACCTTCGAAAAGACCGACACTGTCTACAAGCCCGGCCTCCTCTACACTGGGATGGTAATGGAGGGGATCCCTGCACCCCACAGGGTTCCCCTGCACCCTGATGCACCCAGTCCTGCTCCTGCTACCCCCCCCAGCCCTGCCTTCTGCCTCGTGGCTCCAGCCCAACCAGGGGCATCTCCCCTTCCCTCCTGGTGCAGATGCTGCTGAAAGGAGCCAACGGCACCGTGGTGCCGCAGAAGCAGCTCTTGCTCATCGTTAGCCAGCAAGGGAAAGACACCAGACAGACCCTCCTGACAGACAGCTCGGGGAGAGCCTCCTTCGAGCTGGAGACCTCTGGTTGGAGCGGCACGGTCTTCCTGCGCGTAAGCGACCCATTTCCCACCCCTCGGGGGTCCCTGTGCTGCTCTCTCCAGTAGCACAGGGCTGGGCATCTCTCCAAGCCAAAGAACCTGCACCAATGGTGATGGGACCAGCACCTCATGGATTCTGAATGGCTTTACCACCTTGATGTCTACCTTCATCACTCAGGGTCAAGTGAACAAGAGAGCTCACAGCCAGAACGATAGCTCAACCATCACCTACCTAAATGCCTACAAGGACATCAGTCCCTTCTCTTCGCCAAGCAGGAGCTTCCTGCATATCCACGACCCAGAGGGCAAGCTGTCCTGCGGCCAGTCCCAGCAGATCTGGGTGGACTACATCTTCAGCAAGGAGGCCTTGGGGACAGAGCTGGCCAGCCTGGATGTGGTCATCCTGGTGAGCACTGTCCAGGGGAGGGAGAGCTGCAGGAGTCAGGGTGGTTGTGCGCAAAGGTCCACACCTATGGACAAGTTCATGGTCGTGTCCCTGAGGAGAAGACAAAGAGCAATCTGTTCTTGTTGGTAGAGGTGTCTGGTGGCACTCTTGGACCTGTGTGCTGATGGGAGATGTTGAGGGGGCTGGGTCAAAAACCATCCCGATGCTTTCACCCTTGGGTCCATCCTCCACTGGGGCAATTCGGTTCTACTCAAAGCATTGCTTTTATTGTTCCCATCTCCTCCTCTGCAGGTCCTGGCCAAGGGCACCATTGCCACCTTCCTCAGGAAAGAGCTGCCTGTAGAGGCTGGTAGGTCCCGAGGTTCGGGCAGGCTGTGCGGGGCTCAGTCCTCCATGCCTGGCCCTCATCTCCTCTCCTTCCCCATGGCCCAGGGCTGAGAGGCTCCTTCTCGCTGGAGCTGCCCACCAGCCCCAAGCTGGTGCCCATGGCCAGGGTGCTGGTCTATGTGGTGCTGCCCAGCGGCGACATGTTGGCTGACAGCAACGAGTTCGATGTGGTCAAGTGCTTCCCCAACAAGGTGAGCGGAAGCTGCTGTAGATGGGGGAATCGCTCCATCATCCATAGCTGCATAGTGTCCTGAGGTCCATCCTGCTCCAGATGTATCACAGTGTCAAGTCTCTTCAACCCATGCCCTGATGTCCAAACTCTCGAGCTTGATTTTACTCTTGTCTAGAAGAGTCCTCCGTGCCCGTGGCTTGGTCCTGCTCCTTAGTGGGAGCTGGCTCCCCGCTCCTGCCCTCGTCCTCTGATGCCCCTGTCCCTCCTCAGGTCAAGATGGCATTTTCAGAAGACAGAGCCCTGCCCGGCTCAGCGCTGCGGCTGGGGCTGGAGGCTGCCCCGGGGTCTCTGTGCGCCATTCGTGCCCTGGACCGCAGCGTGCTGCTCCTGAAACCCGAGGCCGAGCTCAACACGGAGGCGGTGAGTGGTGGCAGTGCCTGGAGTTTCTTCTGCAGCCCCAGGGACCAGCCAGGGGTGGGTGAAGAAAGAGGTGGGCATTGGTTTGGACAACTTCTACGGGGACTCGGTGCCATGGTGGCTCCTGGGCAGGGGATAGGTGCCTGGCTGGTTTTGTACTTAGCACATGTATTTATTACCAGGTCTACAAAGTACTCCCCGAATTTGACTACCCTTGGAGCATTCAAGACCCACCACAATGTCGAACATTTCCCTGGAGCTATTACCCTAGCTATGACGTGCCCATCATCCCATCTGTACCAGGACAGCGGGGCTTCTTTCGCCCTCCAAGGAGGCATCACTCACTTTTCCCTTTTCAGATAGACACCTACACAATATTCCAGGTAAAGGCCTCTGCCTCCTGGTTCCTCTGGCTCCAGGAGCCGGCTGTGGTTTGCTCAGCAACATCCCATGAAAGCCACACTTGTGGCAAAGGTCTTTCCCTTTCCCGTGGACCCCAGGCTCTGGTCCCTTTGCTTGTCCTCTGCAGCCCTGCACTGCTGGGATGGGGATATTCCTCCTGCTGGGTTTTGGAGGTGGACAACTTCTTTTCTTTTTCACAGGGCGCAGCACTGAAGCTTTTCACCAATGCCAAGACGGGTGACGTTTGCAGACAGAGGATCAACTTTCCTGAGATAGTGGGTGCCCAAGGTCCCAGAGGTCAGCACAGCCCTCAGTTTGCTGAGTTGAGCACTTCTGGGGAAAATACAGCAAGGAGCTGGTGCCTGGTCCTGGCTCCTGTGTCCTCAGGAGGACTCGGAGCCATCCTGAAAATACATTTGGCATCAAAGGGATGGGAGAGTGTTGAAAATGACGGTTGGACTCGATGACCTTTGAGGTCTCTTCCAACCTGAATGATTTAGTGAAAAGGGTTTTGGCCACCTTTGGGCTGCCTGCAGGTGAGGTCTAGCCGAGACGCAGAGGCCTGTGGACTCTGATTTCTGCTCTGCCTTTTCCAGGTGGCTTCATCACTGCTCTGCAATCACCTGGTTTATCAGAAGACACTGACTTCCGTATCTCATTGGTGCCCAGTAGCATCCCGGTTGTCGGTGTCCAGGAGGAGCCACCAGCCCCTCGGACATATTTCCCGGAGACGTGGCTGTGGGACCTGGTCCCTGTTGGGTGCGTGACGATGGTCCCCATGGGGCTGGACCCCTCCCCACCTCCTCTCCTGCACGGAGGGAATTTGGGGACCTCAGGACAGCTGTAGGATGGCCTCATGATGCCCTCCATCCTGCAGGGAGCACGGCTCCGCGGAGGTGACGGTGACAGTGCCCGATGCCATCACTGAGTGGGAAGCCGGGATGTTCTGCACCTCCCCATTGGGCTTTGGGCTGGCCCCTGCCACCACCCTGACAGCCTTCAAACCCTTCTTCGTGGAGCTGGCGCTGCCCTATGCCGTGGTCCGCCACGAAGCCTTCACCCTGGTGGCCACCGTCTTCAACTACCTGCGGCAGTGCCTGCGGGTGAGCGCTGCTGGGCAGGGGGTGCTGGGTCTGGGGTCTGGCGGGGGCTGATGAAGCCTTGGCTGTGGTCCACCAGGTTCGAGTGACGCTGGCGGAGTCGGCGGAGCTGGAGGTGTCGGCAAGCGCGGATGAGATGTACGGTGGTTGTATCTGTGCAGACGAAGCGAGGACCTTCCGATGGGGCGTTCGAGCCACCAGCCTGGGTACAGGGCACTGAGGCTGCCTAGGGACCCCCTTGGAGGATGGAGTGGGCAGCGGGTTGAGCACCAATGCAATGCCACCTGGGAAGCTCTTCCCTGCTCCGCTCTCGCCCTCCTCATTGCCTACCAGCATTGCTCCTCAACCTGGTGCCCCCCATCCCAATTCAGCCAGCCCCACACAAAGCCCCAGGGTGGACTCAAGCCCATGGGGCTGCAGTGCGGGCTCGGGGGTTCCATGGGGGCTGAGTGCCCTGCTTGTATCTGCAGGGGAGGTGAACATCACTGTCAGCACCGAGGCCCTCAGCTCCAAGGAGTTCTGTGGCAATGAGGTGCCCGTGGTGCCAGCCCAGGGGCGCGTGGACACCGTGATAAAGCCCTTGCTCGTGCAGGTCAGATGGGTTCTGGAGGAGGAAAAATGGGATGGGTTTGGGGACAGGGTATGAGCAGCCCTTGGGGTGCAGCGGGATAGGAACGTGACAGCCCAGAGCCCGGGCTGCAGACGTGACCCTGGGGGACATGGCTGGTCCCTTCTCCTGACCCGCTCTGGTGTTGCTTCCCCACAGCCCGGGGGGATCCTGGTGGAGAAGGCGCACAACTCCCTGCTCTGCCAGGAAGGTAGGATGGGCTAGGGGTGTCCACAGTGCCACAGGGACGTGGGGCAGGGATGCTTGGCCACTGGTCACGATAGCCACCAGGCCAGAGGAGCCAAGGACCAGGGTCTGTAGAGACCCCCAGTTGAGATGCCCCAACTCAGCCTTGAGCCCATGAAGGGTTTGAGCAGGAAGGGGGTGGCTGAGGGTGCCATGGGGCCAGGTAGGGAGGAGCTGGGCATCCCCACTGCCATTGCCCTTCATCCCCACAGCTGCTGAAGAAATCTCCCTGGAGGTTCCTGCCAACATCTTGGAGGGCTCCCAGCGAGCCCACATCACCGTGATGGGTAAGGGACAGCGGGGCAGAACCTGGGGCAGGGAGGGCGCAGAGCTCCATGGCCCAAGCTTAGCAGGAAGTGGGACACCCTAAAGCTGAGATGGGAGGGGATATGGGGGTCACAGCCGATAACAGCACTCCTCACACTCCCCTGGGACAGGCGACATCATGGGCAACGCTCTGCAGAACCTGGACCGCCTCTTGGCCATGCCCTACGGCTGCGGGGAGCAGAACATGGTCCACTTCGCCCCCAACATCTACATCCAGCAGTACCTGGAGAAGAGCGGGCAGCTGCACCCCGACATCCGTGCCAAGGCGCAGGGCTTCCTGCAGAGCGGTGAGCGGCCCCGTCCCACCCCGTCCCCTGTTCCTTAAGGGACACCACCGCCCCATAACCCCCCCATGTCCACCCATGGGGTGGGTCTGGGCTCCAGGCTGCCTCTGGGGGTCTCAAAACCACCATGTAAAGACTCATCCCCATCTTCTCCCCGCAGGGTACCAGCGAGAGCTGCTCTACAAACACGATGACGGCTCCTACAGCGCCTTCGGGAAGAGCGATCCCAGCGGCAACACCTGGTGAGGGGACCGCAGAGGGCTCGGGTGGGCTGTGTGGTGGCATCGGCCACAGCTCCTCCTGCCAGCCCCGGTGTCCCAATTCTCCACCGTCTCTTTGGCTCCGTAGGCTGACAGCGTTTGTCCTCAAGTCCTTCGGGCAAGCCAGAGCCTACGTGGCCATCGAGGAGCGGCACATCACGGATGCGCTGCGCTGGCTGCAGCACCAGCAGCAGGCGACGGGCTGCTTCCGCAGCGTGGGGAAGCTCTTCAACAACGCCCTGCAGGTGGGGTGGTGGCGTGCGACACGGGACGTGCAGTCCCAGCACATCCCTGGTGTGCGGTCTAGGCAGTGCTGGTGGCACAGCATGGCCGGACCCGTCCCCCGCTGTCCCCTTTGCAGGGTGGTGTCTCGGATGAGCTCTCGCTGTCGGCTTATGTCACCGCTGCGATGCTGGAGCTGGGGCTGTCCCCAACGGTGAGGATGACCCCGCAGGGGCTGTTGGGGTGGGGATGGGGGGGTCCTTCTGTTCCAGGCCACCTCCTGGCCATACCTGGGGGTCTCTGAGTGATGGCCGTGGGCTGGTTCCTGACTCCGGTGCCCCGTCAGGACCCGAAGGTGAGCTCAGCCCTGCAGTGCCTGGAGGCTTCGGCCACAGATGACCCCTACACGCAGGCCCTGTCTGCCTACGTCTTTGGGCTGGCGGGGCGTGGAGAGCAGCAGCGAGCCCAGCTGCAGAGCCTGGCTCAGCACAGCATCAGCGCAGGTACCCCCCACCCTCAGCCCGGTCACCCCATGTCACCCCTAGACCCTCAGAATGGGGGAGCTGAGCTCCTACCCCTGTTTCTCCCAGGGGGGCAGCTCTACTGGCAGAGGAAGGGGAAGGCTCTGCCCTCCTCGGAGCCCTCCTGGGCTGCGGCTGCACCGGCGGAGGTGGAGACGACGGCCTACGTCCTCCTGGCCTACCTCACCCAGCCCCAAGTGTCCTCTGCCGACATGGGGACCGCTTCCCAAATCGTCCGCTGGCTCAGCAAGCAGCAAAACCCCTACGGGGGCTTCGCCTCCACGCAGGTACCGGCACCGGGGTCCGTGCGGCTGCTCTGAGCACTCCCACGCTGTGTCTCCTGTACCGATGACCCCAGCTTGGTGCTTTCTCTGCACCCAGGACACCGTGGTGGCTCTGCAAGCCCTGGCCAAGTACGCCACGCTGACGTACGGCAGCAATGGGGACTTCACGGTGACGGTGACGTCCCCGACGGGCACCGCACAGGACTTTGTGCTGCACAACAGCAACCGGCTGGTGCTGCAGCGGGCGGCTCTGGGCCGGCTGCCGGGGACATACGGGGTGCGAGCCCGTGGGCAGGGCTGTGCCCTGGTGCAGGTGGGTACGGCCCGGGGTCCCCGTCCCCTGCACGGTGCGTGCTCGGTGGCATTAACCCTCCTGTGTCACCTCAGGTGACCCTGCGCTATAACGTGCCACCCCCTCCCAGCGTGGGGACCTTCGACCTCCGCGTGGAGACGGACCCCAAGGAGTGCACAGGGGATGCTAACGCCCGCTTCCGCCTCCTCCTCCGGGCACGGTAGGGGCTGGGGCTCCCTCTTTGGTTTGGGGGTGCTGGGAGCAGCCGAGGAGGGAGGACAGACCCCCATCGCCCCATCTGCCCTTGCAGGTACACCGGGGAGCGTCCTGCCACCAACATGGTTGTCATCGAGGCCAAGTTGCCATCTGGCTACATCCCGGACAAGAGCTCCATGGTGGAGGTGAGATGCCCCCATTGCCCCCAGGACCCACTCTGGGGCACCCACCGGGGGTGTTGGCCCCAGTTTGGGCACCCACCAAGCAGCCGTTGCCCATCCTGGTGTCCCCCCAGCTGAAGAGGCAGGAGCTGGTGAAGAAGGTGGAGGTGCAGCCCGACCAGGTGACGATTTACCTGGACCAGGTGAGATGCGGCGCGGGGAGGGGAGCAGAACCCCACGTACTGGGGTATGGGGACACCTTCCCATCGTGGATGGTGTCACCTCTCCCCTGGGCTGTCCCTGCAGCTGACTAAGAAGGAGGAGACCTTCGCCTTCACCGCCACGCAGGACTTCCCAGTGAGGAACCTCCAGCCGGCCACCGTGACGCTGTACGACTACTACGAGACGGGTGAGCCTGGCCAGGGAGGTGGCCTTGGGGTGGCCCTGCTGTCACCCCCTGCAACTTCAAAGGCTCAGAGCTGTCAGCTCACACTGATGAGCTTTGGCTCGTTAACCCCTGGACCCACTGCTCACCATCCTTCCCCTTGCAGGTGACCGCACGGATGCTGCCTACAGCGCACCTTGCAGCTCAGGTAGGGGCTGAGGCTGATGGGGCAGAGGGGTCACCCCCTCATGGGGACCCTGGTGGGGACCCACCGACCCTGAAGGGTTAACCTGGGCTGTGCTGAGCCTCTGGGTCCAGGGGATGGAGGGCAGCGAGCAGGGATGGAGAAGCCCTGAGTTGATCAATGAGGACTTGCTGGGCAGTTCTGGGGGGGTTAGAGGTTGTGGATCCAGGCATCCAGGTTGTGGGGTGCTTTGAGGGGGCTCAGAGCTCCATCAGGCCTGGCCTTGCTCCTGTGCCTCGTGCAGAGCTGTCCTCCATGGGTCTGGGGTCACACAGGGGGTGACACTGAGCTTCAAAGGATGGAGCTCAACTGGAGGGACAGGGGCAGGGCTGGGGGGCAGAGGGGTTCTCCTCTCACAGCACCCATGTTTGATTTTGAAGCAGCTGACGCTCAGGAGCAGGAAAACTTCTAGCACAGCCTGAAGCCTGGCAGCCACCAAGGCCTGGGACAGCCAACAGCCTCTGCTCCCACCCAGCCACAGCCCTGACCCTCCACGGCGGCACAACCAGCACAGCTCCCCCTGGACTCAGCCCCTTCTCCCCATAGCGCAGCTCCCGCCCCACCAGGACCCATCAGAGCCACAGCCCAGGGGCTGACACAGACACCCTGGTGTTCCTCAAGCCCCTGCTGCAGATATTTGGGCTTTGGTTGAGCTACCAAGCAGTGGTTTTACAGGGACACCCCCGTGCATCTCCCCACCACCACCCCAATGGGGACGGTGCCACTGTCACCAAGAGGAACCTGCGGCCACCTCTGCAATCCCACCTGGTGATGGAAAGAAGCTGCAGTCCCCTCCCTGGGTCTAAATAAACACATTTGCTCCAGTCAGTATTATTTCTTGGTCTTTCTTCTCCTGAGCTTGCAGGGTCCCCCAGCTGGAGGGGACAGGGATGGAGGGGCAGTGGGAACAGGGTGGCTGCTGTTCGGGCAGGGAGGGTGGGTGCCAGGCTGGGCCACTGCGTCCATTGCTGCTCAGCTTCTTCACCAGAGGCAAAATGCACCAGGCCGAGGCAAATGGGCTCCCAGAAAGTGGTAACAGAGGCACGCAGACCCCACTCACAATATCCTCCTCTTTGAGAAACAGTGCACGAAGGGACCTGGTACGGGTCCTTGGCCTTGTCACGATGCAGGGGACACCCCAGGGCATCTTCAGATCAGGGTTTAGTTCTGCTGTAACCGAGGAGTTGCTCTGTGCGGACCACAAACGCCTGCCTCAGGGCTCAGCACCCATCGTCCTGCAACTCTGGTGACAAATATGTCCAGGTAGCCACCCCTCTGAGCCACAACCTCGCTGGGGACAGCAAGTGCTGGTGTATATGTTCGTGTCACCTCCGCAGAGCCAAGAGTTTCCCAGCAGAGCCAGCAACGGTGAGACCTGGAGATGCGGCCACGCAGTGAGCACAGGAAGAGGATTGATGCTAGAGGCCAAATAAGCCCTCCCTGCCCCACCAGAGGACAGGAGGCAGTGTCACATCAAGGCACAGACTAACAGGAACGTGTGGCTAAGTCACAGCCCTGTCCCCACGATGGGGGTGAGCAGCAGGGCGTGCTGGCTGCCCCTGATGCCGCGGTGAGAGGACAGGAGCCAGCCCTGCCCCATGCCCCGAGCCGAGTCCCTCGCCAAGGACAGAGCAGGTCCCACATCATTTACGGCGTTTTTTCTTCTGTTCTGTGCGCTTCTGAGCCCTCACGTCCTTCTTCAGGCGGCTGTCGACGACCTTGAACTGACCCTTGACGCCGGGAGGACGGCGCACCCGGGGCCCTACGCCTTTCTTAGCCACCAGGTAGGTGACCTGCCGCTTCTCCTTGGCCAGCCCAGCCTTCTTGTAGATGCTGCAGGAGAAGGGGAAAAGGTGAGACCAAGACCCCAGCGCCACATCCCAGCTCCTGCAGTTTGGCTTTGGGACGTAACCCGAAGGCCAAAGGCTTTTGTGTCCCAAGATGAGGCTCCCTCGCTGGCTCTGCCACCCCTCAGCCTGCACCCAGACCCAGCCCAGCCTCTGCCAGCCCTGCTGGGTTAGGCGCAGGAGCTGTCCCTGTGCCGTGGCTGCAGGGACAGGGCATCCTGTGAAGGATCCAGATCCCAGCTTCACCACTCACCGCCGCAGCTGGGCCACCTTCTCCCTCTCCGAGATATCCACCGTGCTCACCACGGCCTCCGCTTTCTTCTTCATCTGCTCCATCTTCTTCAGCATCTGCGGGGACAGTGAGGGTGAGGGACAAGGGGGATCACAGGGGACACAGAGCAGCTGGCAGGGGAACAGAGCACCCGACCAGGACCGCAGTCCCACTCACCCTCCGCTTCTTGCGGGCTTTGGCCTCCGCCACCTTCTTGATGGGGCGGGCATCTCGGGGGGGCGTCTGTTGATATCCCGCACGCGCTGCCGATACGCCTCAACCGTCTGCTTGTCCACGGGTATCTGCTTGCGCCGGTGCTGCTTCTCCTCCTCTGTGAACCACTCCGGCAGCTCTCCCTCATCCTCGTTGAAGGAATACCTGGGGGGACAGGACTCGGGTTTTAGGGACGAGTGGCTGGAGCTGTCAGGCAAAAAAGGACCTGGAGGTGTTGGTGGCAGCAATGCCTCAACCGTCTGCTTGTCCACGGGTATCTGCTTGCGCCGGTGCTGCTTCTCCTCCTCTGTGAACCACTCCGGCAGCTCTCCCTCATCCTCGTTGAAGGAATACCTGGGGGGACAGGACTCGGGTTTTAGGGACGAGTGGCTGGAGCTGTCAGGCAAAAAAGGACCTGGAGGTGTTGGTGGCAGCAATGCCCATGAGCCAGCAATGTGCCCTTGAGCCAAGAAGGCCAACGCCATCCTGGGGTGGATAAGAAGGGGTGGTTGGAGGGCAGAGAGGTTCTCCTGCCCCTCTGCTCTGCCCTGCTCACACCACAGCTGCAATCTTGTGTCCAGTGCTGGGCCCTCAGCTCAAGAACAACAGGAACTGCTTGAAAGAGTCCAGCAGGGCCACAAAGATGATGGAGGGAGTGGAGCATCTCCTGCTGAGGAGCGGCTGAGGGAGTTGGGGCTCTTGAGCTTGGAGCAGAGGAGACTGAGGGGTGCCCTCATTCCTGAGGATCCATTGGGAAAGGGCAGTGTCAGGAGGAAGGAGCCAGGCTCTGCTCTGGGATGGCCAATGCCAGGACAAGGGGCAATGGTCCCAAGCTGGAGCACAGGAGGTTCAAGCTGAAGATGAGGCCAAAGTTTGTCAGTGTGAGGGTCCAGAGCATGGCCCAGGCTGCCCAGAGAGGTTGTGGAGTCTCCTTGTGTGGAGACACCCAAAGCCCTGGCCGTGTTCCTGTGTGACTGCTCTGGTGACCCTGCTCTGGCAGGGGTTGCACTGGGGGAGCTTTCCAGGGCCCTTCCAACTCCTCATATCCTGTGGTTCTGAGTTGTCAGCAGGACACGGGGTCCCTGCACCAAGACAACTGCCACCCCCATGGTCTGTGTCCCACTGGGAGACCAAACCCTCAAGTACCTGTTGAAGGAGTCATCAATCAGGTCCCGCTTGGCCTTTTTGGAGGTGGCGATGACAGAGCCGAGCGCCAAGCCCTCTGCGTCCAGGACACGGGCTCTTTTCACTGCAGCACAGGGACAGATTAAAGCGTGGCCTAATCTGCAAGCAGCCTAGGACCCAGGGAGCAGCCACAGCGCTGCCAGCCCGGGGAAGCACAGTCTGACCCTGCCTCCTGTCTGTAAAGAGAGATTCACACTGCACCAGTGGGCACACATGGGTCCAGACAGCATCCCCCACTCACCTGGGTCCACAATGGGCACCACCTCGAAGCCACACGGCTCGACACGGCCCCGCTTACTCCCCACTGGTGCTGGTGGCCTGCAGAGAGGAGAGTGGTCAGGGCTGGGGTCCTCACCTCCCTGCTGCTCTCCAGGCCTGTGGAGCTAGGGTAGAAGACCCAGACCGCCCCCCTCTCAGCCCTCACCCTTCCTCGTCGCTGCTGCTGTCGTCATCGCTGCTCTCCTCATCCTGCGCTTTACCAGCATCAGGTCCTGTGTCTGTGGCAGGCGGGGGCTCAGCTGCAGCTTCCTCCTTGGGTACCTTCTTCTTCTGCTCCTTCTTTGTTGCTTTGTCTAGGGAACATGAACCATTGGGTGAAAGAGGGTTGAGACACCCCCACTGCAGACCATTCCTCTGACACCGAGCTCATTAGCACTATGCTAATGCCAGCTCATTAACTGTGTAATTATACAGGCTGGAAGTAACCTCTGGAGATCTCTGGTGCTGCCCAGAGCAGCGTCTGCATCATGGTTTGATCCAGAGCCCCAGACCGGGCCGTGGGGCTGTCCCTCAGTGCCTCCTGCAGTGATGCAGCCCCACACCAACCTCTCTGAGACTCGCGCTGTTTCTGAGCCAACATCTGCGACTGCCTCAGCTCCAGGTCCTCATCTGCATCATCCTCGATGCCAGCAAAGGCGTCCTGGGGACGGGGAGCAGCGGGTCAGGGGACACAAGGCAGACCTGGGGAGCTGCTGGTGCCGAGGCTGTCCTGACACTTCTGGCTCAGTGGGACTCACCTTCCCAAACCACAGGCTGGCCTGCCGTTCCTCCAGCACCGACTTCTCCTCCAGAGGCACCAACAGGGGATTCTCTTCTTCCTCCCCTTCCTCTTCCTCTTCCTTCTGCTTAAACTTTCCCCTGTGACAGACAGCAGCAGAATCAGTGCTCCCCAGGTCAGTGTGTCCACTGCTGGACTCCAGAGCTGCTCCAAAGGAAGCCCTGGCCCCAGGGAGGTCCCTCCCGGCTCTCACCTCTTCACACCCTGCTCTCGCCTTTCCCGCTCCAGCCGGCGCTGACGCTCCTCTATCTCAACCAGCTCCTCCGGGTCCAGATCGCTGACCAGGGACACATCATCATCTTCCTCACGATCCGAGACATAAATGTCATCGTCCTCAGGCCCTATCTCTAGGAGGGCATCTGCCGATGCCATGTCCCCGCGGGTCACCTCGTTCAGCAGCTGCAATGCAAGGGACACTGGAGTCACAAACTGGAGTCTGTCAGCCACGTGCCTGCCACTGTCCTGGCCCTGATGGATGCGTGAGCCTGGCCTCCCCCTGCCCCACACACCGGGGTCCTCTGGATAGTCCGGAGGGAGAACATGCTGGTGTCACCGTCGTCGGCGATGGAGACACCAGGGAGGTCCATCTTCAGCTCCACGCGCTCACGTTGCTTTCGCTGTTCTTTCAGGATCTTCTTCTTCTTTCTGGAGAAGGAGGCAAAGGAATGAGGCCACGCTGCCACACCTGCACACCCCAGTGGCTCATCCACCACCACATCGGTATCAGCTCTCCCCTAGGACTGGGGACCCAGTAACACTGTCACCCCTCTGTGAGGTCCCCAATCCTGGGGCAAAGGGGGCCCACACCAGCTTGGAACAGCTGCTTGGAGGAGCAGATG